CCGCGCAATGCCCGCAGCTCGTGGCGGAGGACATGCTCCTGCTCTCCCTCCTCCGCCGCGTCCCTGTTCTCCCAGGTCTTGCTCCTCGGTTTCCTCCTCCTTCCGCTTCTCCTCCCTACGCCCTTTCTTGAGGGCCCTCCATCTTCTCATCTGCCTCCCCGTCCTCCTTCTCTTGCTGGGCCTCCTCACTCTTCATTCTTCGCCATAATTATCCACTCCTCCCGCTTCTCTCCTCCTCCTCCTCCTCCTCCTTCGACTCCCTCATTTTCATCCCTCCCCGACCCTCCCATCCCTTCCCCCTCTTTATCGCCCTCCTCATGAGCTTCCTCTTCCGACTCATGATTGTACGTTGAGCGTCCTTTTTCTTCCCCTCCTCGCCCAGTTCAATATTTCTCATCCCACTCATCCTACTTCTTTTCCTTATTTGGTGTCATCCTACTTGTTCCTCCCTTGGCCCAAGGCGCCATCCTACCTTCTTTTTGGCGTCCCCTCCTTGCTTCAGGGCTTGCCTTCCTCACCAGTGGGGCCCACAACCCGCTCGGGACACTGCGCTCCACGGGCGTCGACGGAGCGGCGGCTCCCGCGGGGTGGCGGGGAGGGGTGGTGGAAGGGGAAGAAGAGTAGGGGGCTGGGAAACTGTATTCAGGGCAATGAGGATGAGCAGGAGGCGGACGCCTCCTCGTTACCCTGGTCCTCACGGGAGGAGGGAAGAGAATGGCGAGGACGACGACGGCGGCGGCAACGTCGAGGAGGAGGAGGAGCAGCAGCAGCAGCAGCAGAAGAAGGATCAGGAGGGATGTGAAACAGGACTTCGAGGAGGAGAGGATGGAGGAGGATGAGGAGGAGGAGGAGGAGGGGGAGGTGGAGCAACAACACCAGCACAAGGTATGAGCTGTTGATGGTAATGATGGTTATGGTAATGATGAGGATGATGATGGTGATGGTGATGGTGATGATGACGATGTTGATTGTGGCGATGATGTTGATGAGATGGTGTCGATGATGGTGATAATGATGATGCTGCTGATGATGATGATTATGACCATGATCAAGGTTCTGGTGATAATACTGAATCGAATGTTGATTATGACGAACATGCTGATGATGGTGATGGTGATGGTGGTTGTGACGATGATGATGATGATGACGACGATAATGATGATGCTGATGATGATGATGATGATGTTGGTGATGCTGATTATGATTATGACGATGATGCTGGTGGTTATGGTGATGATGGTTGTGATGCTGATGCTGATGATGATGATAGTGATGGTGATGATGATGATGATGCTGCTGATGATGATGATGATGATGATGATGCTAATGATGATGATGATGATGATGATGATGATGATGATGATGATGATGATGATGATGATGATGATGATGATGATGATGATGATGATGATGATGATGATGATGATGATGATGTTGTTGATGCTAATGGTGGTGGTGGTGGTTGTGAGGATGAGGAGGATGCTGATGGTGGTGGTGATGATGATACTACGTTTTGGGACTAGTGATGGTGGTGATGGCGATGACGATTACGACTACGATGACGGTTATAATTGATTATGGTGTTGAAAACATGTCGATGGTGATTGTGACTGTGATGGAGCTTGAGGTGATGGGGATCACGATGACGGTGGTGGTGATGATTAGGAGAGGGAGGAGGGAGGGAGGAACAGAGAAGGACCAGAAGCAGCATCATAAGCAGCCGAAGGAGCAGCAGCATGGGGCCTGGTGGCCTCATGTTCCTCTGCTGAGCCTCCGTCTGGCAGCTGCATGACGTGCGGCTCGTTGGGCACAATCGAACACCCTGGCAATTCGAAGCGCTCAAGCAGAGTGGGCGAGGCGGAATAGGAGGATGAGGAGGAGAAACACATGGCGGCGGAGGAGGAGGAGGGTGAGGAGGAGGGGGGTGAGGAGGATGAGAAAAAAAACACGTGGGGGAGGCTTGGCCAGCGAGAAGATGGCAGAAAATGAAAGGGGAGGAACGAGGGCTGGGGGACGACGGAGGAGGGAGGACGGCGGACCGAGGACAGCGTACGGAGAGGAGAGGGGAAACAGAAGAGAGGGAGAAGGAGCGGAGGAAAGACATGAGGAGTGAGATGTGGGAGGAGGAAGAAGAGGAGGAGAGGGTGGAGGAGGAGCAGGAGGAGGTGGACGAGAGGAGGAAGACGAGGAGGAGAAGGAGGAGAGAGAGCAGAGGAGGACGAGACATGAGAAGAGGAGGAGGCGAATTGGAGAAGGACGTGAAGAAGACAGGCGGAGTGAGGATGAGGAAGGAGGAGGACGAGCTAGAGAGGAGGGATGCAGGAAGCATGCTGAGCCAGGATGAGGGTGGTGAAGGAGGAGGCAGGAGGGAAATGGAGGAGAGGGGAGGAGTAGTAGGAGGATGACGAGTGAGAAGGACAGAAGATGGAGATGTGAGAAGGCCGAGGGAGGAATGGCGGTTGTGAGCGAGGAGGAGGAGTGTAAGAGTAAGAGTGCCGAG